CTCATCAAAATCCCAGGTCTGTTAGAGAATACAAATTTCAGCAAGAGTTTTCTGTTAATGTCTGGCTTGGAATTTGGAACGACGTTTTAGTGGGACCGCTTTTACGTTTAGTGCCTGGCTGCTACAAGAGCCGTGTTTGACAGATGCAATGCTTGTATTGCTGCAAGAGGTGCACATTTCGAACAAAATCTTCATTAAAAAGTTTATAAATAAAATAATTAAAATAATAAATTAAATATATTTTTTTCTTTTTTCGTGATTTCCTGCGAAACAAAGCAAAAAGGAGCATATGTCTATAGGACTTTTTTTCTTAGTTTTTTACTCCTCTACACGCTCCCGAAGTTTTGCCATTTAATTTGGAAACACCCTGTATATATATAACTTAAAGAAAATTTTCAAGCAATTGATGATAGATAAAGAGCCTGATATACAAAATAATTTATATAGTTTTAAATTCTAGTTTTTAATAACAAACATGTTTATCAAGTTATACTGTTATACATGTTTATATACTAATAATTTTTGTTGCCTAATTCTTAAGATATCTTTATATCTTACCTAACACTTTTAGATATGTCTTTGATAATGGTTTATTCCATATCCCCAATATTTCCCCATGATGAGCAATACGTTATTCAATTCCACTTAAGTAGATTTTAATATAATATATAATTGGGAGGATCCCGTTTGCCTACAAAACAATTGCCTACGGCTTCGTTCATGTATGATTTTAATCTGATAATAAAAATGCAAATTTTATGATTATTATAGCCATTCATTTTGAGGCGATTAATAGATTATCAATAATTGTCATTTATCATAATTAAAGAAACAATTATACAGATTCTCATGTTTTATTGTTTTGCCACTGTATGAATTAATTTATTATACGATATATATAACTTAGTTAAAGAATCCAAGACGATATAATTAATGATGCCAATAATTAACTTTTATAATCCACAGTTTATCGATTAGAAGTAATCATGATCTGCATATTTTTCGTAAACTTTAGCCTTTGATCGATACAAACAGCACATTATCAATTAAAAAATTCATATATCTTTGTATGATTTAACACCGACAAAAACATTTTCATGTATATATATATATATAATAATAATTATTATTATTCTCCATTAACATTATGCTTATATCACATATTTGTGTTATCGCAAAAGAAAATTGTAGAGATATATGCGTTAAGATACTTTTTTATCATATCTTGATAAAAATTTTCTTTAACAGTTAATATAGATTATATATATATTTATTTTTTAATTCTAGCCGTAGATATAAAAGTCGACTGTGAAGAGATCTTCAAATTCAACGATCTACCGATAAACTAAAGAGACATTATTTTAACTAAATTCTTAAGTTGTCAAACAACTAAAATGTCATTGAAATTGGCAGACGACCAGCGATTTGCATTGATGAAGGTAAGTCCAAAGATATAATTTATTCTAGAAAGAAAAATGTTAAAAAAGTAGAAAATATAATATAAGTCTTCTGGTATCTTTGAAGTATAATATGTTAATTATCTTAATGTTGAGTTTCACGGATATTAAAAAAATCATGTTTTCTACTAGTAAAACATAATAATGCTTTCATTTCTATAAATAGTTTACGTCCTGCTCTTGATACAAAAAATTAAAAAATTATTAATATCTAAAAATGCATTATTAATGGAAACTATTTTAAATCTTGATTAAATCACGATATCTTTAAAACAGAAAATTGTTGTTTATTACACTGAATTTTAAGGACTTTCTCACTCATGTACTCACCAGTGATGCTAAACACTTAGTATTTATCAGAAAATTTTTAAAATTATAATGAGAACGATTCTGAGCAAGAATAATTATTATATTACTTTTTTTTTCAATTTTATTGCTTTTGTTTATTACTTTTTTTATGTATATATTCTTTTATGTACAGATATAGATTTCGTTCATTAAAAGTATTTTATTATAGTTTTACACTTTCATTAATATACCATTCTCATAATGGCTTCTTATATATTTAATAACTTCATAAGCTATTTTTAATATTTTTCCGACTAAAAGATTAAAATCAGATTTAGTAGCTCAAAATCTATAAATAACATACTGCTTTTACTTTCCATTCCGAAGACAAAATCGACACATCTTCCTTTAAAAAAGTTCTCTCTCTCTCTCTCTCTCTCTCTCTCTCTCGTTCTCGCGACAATATTAAAGCTAATAAATACCATCTAAAAACATTGTTATTCATACATAATTTCAAGGATTTTTTGTTCCCACTCATGTGTACGTCAGTAACGTCAGTTAACCGCTCGAAATTTATCAGAGATCTTTCAGCGTTATGTTGCTAATAGTGATAAAGTTTCGACGCATATAAACGCACTATTTTATATTCTTTTAAATAATTTTATATAAAATAGATACAATAGAGATAGATAGATTTTCTTTTATTATATCTATTTTATAATATATAAAATTATTTAAAAGAATATATAATGCATTATAAGAATAAAGTATATCATATATTTACTTACTAGGTCGGTATTCATAGTTTAATTTTCTTCTCATCGGAATGAAAAATAATCTTCTACAATCATAAATAATAATAATAAATTATAAACTATACTAAATAAACAAGTATTTTTAAATCTTTTAAATTCGTTATAACTATTAATTTTAATATTAATTTTTAATAAATATATTAGAAAATATATATATAATGATATAAAAAAATATAGTTTGTGCCTAAGTTTATTTGTGAACAATGTGAATAACGCAAAAACACCGGATGTACATACATATAATTATTAATAGAAATGATTAAATAAATTACAGAAATAATATTTAATTATTGTTCCAAAACTATAATGCATAAAGTTCAAACAATTTTTATTATTTCTCGAATGTCAATGAATTGCAAAAGTTTAATGATTTTGTGAGTTAATGTTAATTAATCATATATTGTGAATTTTAATTAACTTGCAGACAGAACTTGTTAATTAAATTATCACTTTTTCTTCCTTTTAAAAATAAATGACATGGTTGTCTAAAACTTGTCTCTGTTATACTTGAAAAATTTTTCATGAATTTGAGAAATATGTAAACATGGATAATTATTAAAATTTTATTCTGGCATGACTAATACATTTAAATAAAGAAATAAATGTTATGCCACAGTTTAAAGAAAAAAAGCGCTTATATCACGAAGTGTCGATGTACATTTATTAATTATTCCCGAATTTCTGTATTATTTTAGTTTGCACACGTAAAAATGATAATATTGTATGATAAAGCTCTATAAATATATTCCCATACATGAAATTTTAAACAAATATTTATCTTCAGATTTGCCCGAGATAATTCAAAAATATTTTCAACGTCGGTATCGACAGGAATATTAGTATCTCACAAATGATGTAATATACATCAATGTAATAGCATCAGTTATCACATAAATCTAAAAGATTGACATTTATTGGACACTTGACAAATTGACAATTTAATTATGAAGCACGCACATAAATATAGTTGATAAGTATAGACTATCGACATTCATGATAAATCAGACACATAGTAAATACAATTTTTACAAACAAATCCTTTAAATCAAACAATCTATTTTTTTCTTCTTGATGAAACAAAAAAACAAAAACTAAAGTTTTTATTTCGTGAAAATTTTTTATTAAAAATTGAGATATTAATAAGACGCATAGAATATAAGATAAGAAACCTGATAAAGCAAATAATTATATTTTTTTTAATGTAAATAGAAGTATTCATATTTTTGCCAAACTTCTCCCTAAAAATTTAAAAAGAATAAGAACAAATTTAAAAAGGATCATATTAACTGTTAATTTTATTAACAAAAATGCCAAGGAAATAATTTTGCTGTGAAAATATAATAAGATATATCTTATTTTATTTAAATATTTTTTTATATCTTATTTTATTTAAAATTTTATAAGATATACCTTATACTTTCGAAGATATAATTTGCGTAAAAAATCTTTACGTTAAAACAGGTTGTAAAAAAAAGTTTTAAATGTTTTTAAAAGAAATTATATCCACGCTATGGTTCGGCAAAGATCTCTTAAGGGTACCAGGTTAATCCAAATTTACTGACACGATTTCTCAATAGGGTTGAAAATTTCGTTGAAAATATGCGATACGAGATATTGAAGACAAAAACTTCAATGCGCGTAGAGAAATTGCTTCAGTCCTCTTACAACCTAGTGATCATTCACCTCTGATATCTAGAACGGATAGTAAGTAGACGAGCACTTATTTCAAGCAGCAGGATGCAGTGGATCGCGAAGAGATTGGCACTTTTCCGATTACGCCGTAAGAAAAGAGTTGTCGATTGCCTTTCGATTTATGATCTTGTTTCGATACTAATTAGATCTTTTAGATGTTGACAATTTTTTTATGTCAATTAAGATTCATAAAAATGCGCAGAAAATCTGAGTCACCATCTTTTTCCTCTGTTTCAATTTACATGTTTGCTATATTTTAATATTGAGAATTTTACCCTCTCAAATGTTTTACTAAAAAAAGGTAAAACATCTAGACACATACATTGAAAAAGTTTATTAAGTTACCTAGTTTTACTCGTCTGACACCAATTAATGTGACCAATTAAATTTAACTGTTTTAGCGCATTTATCAAATAAAGAAGTTTTTTACGCTTCATAGTTGGATTATTTGCGCAACGTCTTCCGCGTTTTGACTCCTATTGCCCATGCTGTTTCCTAATTCTTTTGATTTATAAGGAGTTCTTGTGAGTTTGATTTCTTATACGTACTTCACTGTTTTTTTTTTCTTGTTGCTCGAAAGGAAAACGTTGTGCCGGTGATGTGGTAACACTTTCATCTGTTTGGAGACTATCACAGCCTCGCGACTGAGGACAATTGCGCACACGCAAATCTCGCACACTTTAAAAGGGTCCTCAATGCATACCAATGCAATGTAAATCCGCCAGCGCGGGCACCCGTGTTGTCTTGAATTACGACATCGATGCAAAAGCAAGATGTCTATCGCGACGTGCATATGCACAGAATGACTTTTTCTCGGCTCAATCCGTTTGAGTGAAGCAATCGTACAAAATATCTTGGAAATATCAGTAGAAATTTGCAATAACAGTCACTGACTTTAAATAAAGTAAATAAGAAAATATCGAAAGAAATGCAAAATTTAATAAACACGTTATATGATTTTAAAAATGATATTCGCTTCTCTCTATGCAATTATCGAAGTATTTTTGCAATTGAGATATTGACAATTCATAGGAATTGTAAATAAATAATTAAGTAAATCACTAATAGTAAATCAGGGAAAATATTAACTGTTAATATTTTTGCATACCGTGTTTACTAGATTTTGCATTTCTTTCGACATTTTCTCGCTTTCTCTATCTCAAGCTAATGACCGCAACTTTATTAATATTTTATAATTAATAAAAGTAAAATGTTAATTTTATTATTTTAAAATCACGTTTATTAAAGAAACAAAATTTAGGCATATATATATATATATATATATATATCTCCAAAAACCTAAATATCTTCGAAAAATTCTCATTGGAGTTATTTTTATGTAATTTATTACGAGATCATGAAAGACTTTGATTACGTTCCGTAAGTTCCCTGTATTTTAATAATATCATTAATAATATCGTATCAAAATAACATATTAATTAATAAAAAGTACTCGCCTATATATAATTTTTTCCGTTTCTATGTCATATGCTATTCGGAGGATAAAAATATTTAATGGTATTGCATTCGTAATTTCGTGGAAAATATATACGATATTTTTGCTATGTGTTTAATTACTCGTGATGGTTACAAAACCATGTAAACTTTTTATTTAGTATGGATACGAGTTTATTGTTCCGTAACAAAGCTATCATAACTGCCTATAAAGAAATATTGTTTCACAGTTCATTTCTGATACTTTCTATAACTTATAACGAATTACAATATATATTTTACGTAATTCACGTAAATAGTCTTTTTTTTCCAAAAACAATTATTTGTTTCGTAATTTATTTTCGAGAAAGTTCCTTATGACAAATCCCCGATTTCTATTTTATCTCTATTTTCAAGCAACTTATTCTCGATTCGATTGTAAAAGACGATAGAAATTGTATCGAAAAGAAATATTGCATTTTTATTGTTGATTGTTATCGTTTCGCTACACTGAAAAAAGATTGGCTGG